CGTTTATCGATAGATTATATAAAAATGTTTCTTTATGCAACAAATCTCTTATTTATCAAATAAAAATATATAATCAATAACAATAGATTTATATACTATAACAACAAAAATTCACTGTTCCATCATTTCTCCATAAGTTCCTTCATAAAGCATTACAGCAGTAAGAGAATCTAGAGTCTCTTCTCCAGTCGGAATAATCAGCTGAGGTGGTAACAAGAAACCGTATTGACCCTTATCGCGCAATTTGTAGAGAAATACAATAGGTTTACGGAAATCATGGAAGAGGTAATCTACGCTAGAACCACTCAACCCTAGAAACAATTTTACATTATATGTATATAAGAAGCGACATATACCTTTCAAAATTACAATTATTTTAATATGATGAAATACGATAGTAAGCATTTTAATTTTACATGTACATATATAAAGAAAGTAAGACATTATTATAAAGTTATTTTTATTATGTTAATGTTGTTGTAAAGCGACGAAAAAAAAAGATTTTAAAAGATTTTAAAAAGCGGTAAGTTATTTTAGATAATTAAGAATTTACATACTATGTTCGTCAGTTGTTCCTATCTCATATTGGGTATGGTACCTCCGTTGAAGAGCCTTAGTTATCATCTGACCGTGAAGATACTGAAATCGCACGATAAATCTTATTACAATATTATATCACATTGCAGTGCAAATAATATAATTTCGAATTATATAAATTATTATAAAGGCGAGCAACTTGAAAGTGCGTTTAAATGCGAAAAAGTTATCTCTAAAATCACAAATATACGTTGTTTAAAATTGTACTTGCTTCTAAAATATTATTTCCCTTCTATCATAAATATTTTTCAAAGGCACCACTCTTATTTATTAATACAATTTCTTACTTTTTCATAATAGGCGTCAGATAAATTCGTAGTGATAGGAAACAGCAATTGTTGAGAAAAACCGTGGAGCGAAATATACGTATTAAAATAATGATCGATATTGGATTCCAGCATATAATTAAATATGCTTTTTATCTCTATTTCGGAGAATGGCTCACTTCCGGGATAATCGTCATCGCAAGGATTGTTGCTAGAGCCAGTAGCTGAGAATGTCAAGTTACAATGTTACATTAATAAATCTTGATGTGATTAGCATTTCGAAGGTCCCACAATAATCTGAACTTTCGATAAAGTTATTCAATTACTTATTATATTGTTCTAATCGTTAAATACTTACAATTCCATCGAAAATTCCAATTCCTATTGAGATCCGATCCAATGCAGATATCACTGGACGGTTTGCGATTTTTTTTCCATAATCGGTCCTATATAGAAAATATCAACGAAAGCCTATTCATGAAAATGATCTCAACTTACAATTAGAATAATAATAATAGATAACGCCGTATAATATCATAAAACAAATCTTACCTTAA